TATATTTATATATGTTAATTTATATATATATATTATATATGTATATAAATTAACAGATACATTTAAAAAAGGAAAACAGGAAGGCCTCATTTCCCCTGGATCAGATAAGTTAGGAAGAAAGGCAGATATAAAGATGAAAAAGACAGAGAGGCCAGTCCACCTTTTTTTTTGTACTAAGGATTGAACCTAGGGCTTTTACAGCGAGCCTTTTTTGTTCCCAAGCTCTTCTGCTTTTGTTTTGAGACAGGGTATCCCTAAATCGCTAGGTTGCACAGGCTGGGTATGAATTTGCAATCCTCCTGTCTCAGCCTCCCAAGGAGCTGTAATAACAAGTATAAACCACAGTGCCCAGTTCAACATTCTTAATCTGCAAATAATCTTGAGAATGGAGAGAGAATACAATCCCCAATATATTCTATAAACTTGGTGTGCTGTATGACAGACCACTAATAATAAGGTACCAAAGATAAAAATCATTTACAGCCCCTTACATGTAAGATGTTTGAAAATGTAGTAAAGAAATAAAATATTTTCATAAGTTTTATGGTGTGAAAAATTCCCCTTTTTAAATAATATAAAATTCTACTTATAAGTCTTGGTAGAAAGCATCTCTCCATTTACTTGAAAGGAAGAGACAAAAGCGTTATGTAATTTCTCACATTCCCTGAGAAGTGCTCTATTTGGTGAGAAATTAGGAGTTTTCTACGAGCATTTAGCCCGTGCTGTTGGGATTCCTAACTCTGGACTCGCTTGTGTTTTGAATCTGATGACCAGATTTTTTTGTCCTACAAATAGCACACCCTGTGATAGGAAATTTGTGGTCTGTGGTGCATCAAAGAGGAAGAAAACTACATTAGAATTTGATTCTGGCAGCAGCATAAATATTTCTTTTTTTTTAATCTATATGATGCTCAGGATCAAACCACACCAGACAAGCACTCCACATCCCCGGTTCTAAAATAATTGCAAAGCCATTGCATATTGACAAAAAAAAAAAAAGAGTTTCAATTAGTAATATTATTAAACTTAAATTATATCTGAGACCTTATAAGTTTGATGTCCATGTAAGTGAGAACACCCACCTAAAACTGATTTGGGAATTATTTGAAGCTACGGATGATGTAAGCAAATATTTTTAGAAGTTTGGAAGATTTGTTTACAATATGTTAGGCAATGTAAGAGATGAATAAAATAATATTTTCTTGTCCCAAAATAGAGGACAGGGTTATAAAGGAACAAAGAAGAAAATTCAAATCTTCATTTGAAGAAAATATGTCTTGTGTTTTAAATCAAGGAATGAAAACACTTCTCTTAGTGAATGTGTGAGTTTACTGACTGAACCTCAGCCCAAAGGGTTCAAGCTTCTCCCGTCACAAGCGATGTTGAAAGCTAAAGTTGCAAGCTATGGAAAACTGAGAGCAGGATCTTTTCCTCTTTCTGTTCTTAGGACATTTTAAATGTCTAAATGGAAGGAAAACCTCACAAGAAACAATGCTGAGAAGAAATGATGAGTATATACTTAAGAGTCAATAACTAGTACATTATTTTCCTCTACTAAACCTACTGGTTTAAGGCTAATATAAAATAAAATGCCCTTTTAGAAGAAATAAAAAAATGAAAGAGATTGGGAAATTACAAAGCCCTTTTGGCATGAAATTTATAAATTGTGCTTTAAATGTAAGTGTCGAATTTGAAATCAAACAATGTTTTGATGTTTTTTTCTTTTTTTTTGGTACTGGGGATTGAACTCAGGACCTTGGATTTTCAAGGCAGGCACAGTGCCACTGAGCTAAAACCCCGGCCCTAATGTTTTCATTTTTTACAGTTATTTTACTTTTGCATTTAATGAAGAAAAGTACACAATTCAGTTTTGAAGACCTAATTTAGAAGTAACAAGGTTCAACATTATTCTTCTAACTACAAAAATGTACTAATAAGCAATACATAAATAAGGAAGGGGACACAGGAATAAAATGATTCTACTAAACACTCTAGGATACAGCTCCAATATATAACCAAGGGCCTCCACGGTTGTGAATTTTCTTTGTGACTAATGGATCACCATTTGTCCCCCACATTTCACTCAGCAAATCACACATCCGTCCAACGTTTCCTTCGTCAATACCACGGAAATGGAGGATGCCATACTCAAACCCAAGAAATGCATATTCTTATGCCCATAATATATTTAGAAAATACCATTCCTACTAAAGGAAAGAGAATGAAACTCTTCAATCAAAATAAGTACAGCTTTATCTTTTACATTTTGGGGGCAGGGAAGGGTTTTACTTTCCCTCAGACAAAACGATTTCTCATGCAAAAATGAGATGTTTATAAACCTTTAATTGGAATCAAATCTCTCAATATTGATAGAAAAGAGGCACACAGATCTATCCACCCCTGTCAAGACCAGACAGGATGTCACAGTGAACCAAAAGCCTGCCACCTTTACGGGCATTTAGCCTGAGCAAAGTGACTGCTCAAAGTAGACAAACACAATGGGCAGTGGGACTGAGCAATCAAATTTCCCTTTAGTGGGATGATTGAGGAAAACAAATCCCAAGAGATAAGTAAGGAAAGTTCTTAGAAGCCTGGCTTCAATTTAACAAGTGAAATGAAGATGTTTTTGTCTTGGTAAATGCATTCATGTGTAGATTTGTGGTGACAAGATTTTTAGCAGTTAAGTAGTACTCCTGCTGGCCTGGTAGCTACACAACCATCCTGAACCACACTGCATGCCCCTCTGCAAGTACAGAGCTCTGGGTAATGCCAGGAAAATGGAGCTGCTCTCATCTAATCTGACACAGCAAGTTAATGAGGTCAGAGGGTAAGAAACTTAGGAAATGAGAAACCGACAGCGGAAGGATATGTGCGTGGTGGGGCATGTAAAGCCAAGCCAAGCCAAGCCAAGCCAAGCCAAGCCAAGCCAAGCCAAGCCAAGCCAAGAATGCACCCTTTCCTCTTTCTTCAGCCCAGATCTGCTCCCAGAACGAAGGTCCTCCTCCACCCTACCTAAAACCAGCTGTGCTGTTTCTTTACCTGTTTTTTAACCACGAATTTGTAAACTTTAGTGCTTTCCACTAGCATGACATTTTTTGCATGATGGAAATAACACATGAACTTTAAATTCATGTGTTATTTATATTCACGGAGGCATATAAATTACCCACTTCTATCGATTCATAACTGTGTTAAATGAAATGATACCCTGTTTAAATTAAGCTTAAGAAAGGCACGATTCACAACATTTTCACCACAGGGAGTCCTTTTCGTTATATCGTCACAAAGCGCAGGAGCCCTCTCCCAGTCTCTCTTCCAACAAACCACACTGATGGCGTCATTTAAATTCTGGTTCTGTCCTATGGTTTGATAAAGTTAAACACATGAGGGGATTAGAGGGATGGTGCTCCTATCTCCAGCACTGAGTATAATATTGCCTCATGTGTAGTTTGCTTTAGGGTCTTAGAAAATGACTGATAATTGACTTAGGGGGTCACCTGATGCTGGCAGTTTTGGGACAACTGTCTGATCTTCTTAGCAAGAACTAAATACATATCACAAAGCTGAGGACGGACCGGGATCCTGTCCGTTGGAAAATGGGAACAATAAAAAAAGAGTTGTGGAGTAAGTAGAGAGCTGTGGAAGGATACAATGGGTTAATTCCGTAAAATAAGTTTGGGGAGGAAGTGGTCTAGGTAAGCAGAGGCCTTTTCACCTCGTAGCCAAAGTAAATGGGTCAGACTCCTGTTGATAAATGGTCACTTACATTTCGTAGGACAAAATCCAAACAGCTTGTTAGAGTCGTAGTCTGTGGTGGTCCCGCACCAGAGCCATCCATCTGACCGCCCAGCACTTGTGCAGTCTGCGTACCACTTGTTTTCGAACTTGAAAGGAAATGCGCAGGGGGCTCCGTTGGCATTGCCCAGCAGCGTGTACATGGCTAGGGAAACAGAGTTGCACTTACAATCGGAGTGAAAATTCTAAATGTCAGCTTTCTTGTAAGACGTCGGTTGCAAGAATTGGTCTTGCTCTTTTAATCATGCTTAGTGGACCTACCCAGCAGTCCAGTCTTTCGTTGAACATCTCTGGCAGACAACTGAGGAACTACATTTCCACTTCAGTTGGAACAGATTTTCCTTCCTCTTACACAAGAACAATACTCACTTCTATTGACAGCAAAGTTAACTTCTGCATTTCCTCCAAAACCAAGGGAAGGTCATCCTTCCTTTGGGTTAAAACCATAATATTACTGAAGAGGTTGAAAATAACTTTAAAGCTGCATAGTGCAAGCATACAGGTGAATGTAAGTTCTCTACAACCTTTTCCTGTCCATCCAGTCTCTGTAATGATGATGATGTGCAAAGCTAGGAATTTTGGCCAGTTCTCTTCATACCACAAAAAAGAAACCACTCGAAACCACTAGATACCATCTACAATTGACACTTGTCTTTGTGATTTTGCCACAGGGAACTGAACCCAGAGCCTTCACACTCAGCTGTATCCCCAGACCTTGCTACTGTTTAATTTTGAGCAGGCTCTTAATAATTTACCAAACTGCTCAGCCTGGCCTTGAACTTGTGATCCTCCTGCCTCACCGTCCCAGAATCCTGGGATTACAGGAGCATGCCATCACACACAGCCAGAGCCACTGTTAATAATGGTTTGGCTTAAACCAAAAAGGATTAGACAAACTCACAGTCCTCTCCACCAATGAGCCAATGACTCATGTAGATAAATTCTTCAGGATATTTAAAGTCTTTATCTCTGTAGGGGTCCCCAGTTCGGAGATAATCACCCTTCACATTGACTTTATACTACCAGCTGCCACTCAGAGTTTATCCTAGGTAAGAATTCTAAATTACATATCAAAGATCTTGGGACTTGCAAAAGTTCTTAAAAGATGCTTAGTCGCTTAGATAATATGAAGTTTGTAAGACATGTAGCACATATTAAGGACAGAATCAATGTTAATCCCTTCTCCTTTTGTCCTTTTCCTTTACTCATGGTACTTATCCCACCTAAGTTTAGTTTTAATTATCTCAAAGTTACTGTTTTATCAACTAGCTAGTTGTTAATAATTTTAAAATGCTATTCTCGCATTAATTCCACTAAGTCACAGGGCTAATCTTCCAAACTATAAATTGTATAAGCTATGTGCTGATTCGGAAAAAATCATGCCAACTCTTGGGCGCTGGGATACCTGTACCTTTCTATGAAGAAAACCTATAAAGACTTCTTCGCGGCTGGTGGCAATATTCATTAAGTTGGTCAAGAAAATGTCTTACTGGGTTTACAGATGCCAATTCAAAAGGGCTCTTTACTTTCAGTACTAACAGCTCACTCAATAACTACTAAACACTCTAGACCCCAGGCACTAATAAGACTGAAAAAACAAATCTCTACCCCAAAGCTACCTCGTTAAAAAAAATCACATAATTGCAGTCAACTTGCTCTCCTTCATGAAGTCCAAACTTCCAGACAATCTTCATATCCATCCAAGTCCACAGTTGTGATTTTATCATTCTAAAATAACTATAGAAGCAGCTAGTGCTATAGCTCAGGTTGTTGTCAGTTGTAATGTATATTCGAGTTAACGAGTCTCAAAGTGACTCTGAGGGACTAAGTCTTCCAGCAGGATTATTTTAAATACTGGGAGATCATTAAAGAGAATGCAGAAGGTGGTCACTGGACCCTCTGCATTGCTATCACCCAGCGCTTCATAAAAATGATTCAAAACATCCCTGGGCCCTTCCCCTCCGGTGCTAATCCAGAATGGGGGGAGAGGCTGAGATTTGCATTTTTAACAAAGCTCTCCCAAGTGATCCTTTAGCATATTAAAGGATGACAGCTGCTCTCCTAAACCCTATGCACATTTGTCTCAAAACAGAGAGAACAGAAAGGATGAGGGATGAGGAGCTGAGGGATTGTACTTTTGCACAAATCCAGGGATGACTCAGCACCAGTCTTCATCGAAATGAATTCCTCCACGAGCACAACTGTCCCATCTGTGGAAGTTGATTTTTTACCATTGCCTTACCCTTTGATTGTCTACTGATTTTTCTTGGAAAGTTTCATTATGTAGGCTGCCTTCTATAACTTCTAATTGAGGCACAAATGCCTTCACATGACTCTTTCCTGGGCCCTCCTCTCACCCTACTTCAACTTGGACTGTCCCCGAAAACAGAAATCTCACAAATTATCTGCTTATAAAACAACTGGACTCCTGTGCTCTGTCTGAGCTGATAAGCTAGGTTCAACATAGTTCAGCAGTGTAGCTGTGGGCCCTGAAGGCAAGCCCTGTTTCTGACCTTGAGGTTGACCTAGATAACACTTAACAATAACCAAGTATTCAAATTTGAAAGGGGGTTATCGTGAGTATCAACTGACTCAAAAAAACAGCATTTGTAAACGGCTTGGCTTCGTCTTCTTTTTTATTTTTGTTTGGTTTTGCATCAGCCCCCAGAGAATAAAAGTTGGCCAGGATAGATTAAGACTAAATACTTTGGTTTTATGTAACCATCAAAAACTCAAGGATCCAACCACAATAAAACAATTTCCCACCAAACCATTGCTATTGCTTTCATAGATAGCTAAGTATGGTGTATGTTAATTTGTTATCTAATTCCCCAGCTTTTCTAATCTGTTCAGTATATTCTCTAAATACCCAAAGGGTGACAAAATAAATCAGAAAACCTTTAGAAAACCAAGCTGTCAAGAAATTTGCCAAAATTTCACGTCAAGCAATCTGAACGGATAAAGCATGCCTGAAGGATCATTTCTCTAGGGAAAATTTAAAGGAAAATAATAGTTTGGCTAGATTTATTTATCACTAAGACCTATAAAGTTAAATAGGGAAATTTAGGTCAAGATTACAGTGAACACAGTTTTCTGAAACTTGTACCACAAAGCTGAAAAAATATAAAGAAACATTCAAAATTAATGTTTTCATATTAACCACAGATAGCTAAATATTATTCAGGAAGCTTTATCAAACATTTAGTCAATACCATGTTTTAGAACACAGAAAGTCAAAGCACAAAGAAAGTGATCTGTTAATATTTCTAATACAATAACTTGGTTATTTTCTTAAATTCCAACTCAGAAAATGAGAGAAACACGACACAAAGCTAAAAAATGCGAAGTCTCTCACCTTCATAACCTCTGGAGCATAAATCATCTGTGGTTCCATAGATCTTCCACCTGCTCCATAAGCCAGATCCCTTGTACAACATAATGTTCTTTTCCTGTTTATTGCCATAGTTAAAATATAGATCTTCACCCTTGATCCCAAAAAGTGTGTCATTTTTGCATTCCCATTTCTGAATTTCACTCTGGGAGTTGCAGGGATAGAGGGTGACAGGAACCCAGTCGCTTTTGGACGGCACCCCCAAGCATAATTTAAAAGCAACGCTCATGATCTGGGACGAGGATACCCATCGGAATTTCTGTGACTCTGAGTCCGGGCTGCAAGATGCAGTTTGGACCGCACTGGGTTTCACTGCCTCCACACAGCGCTTGTGATCTTCATTATAGATTAAAAATTGCCTTGTATCTGTTAAAAAGAAGAAAGAAAACATGCGTTAAGTGTGGTCATGTAACATGAATAACAGGTTAGGTCAAAAGTTTCCTACCTTTCCATTTCCCAAAAGATTTATGATTATAGGAAAAGAGGGGAAAACAGCTAGGCCCTGAGCTGGCACATTTTCTTCCGGGGCACCCGGAAGCTGGAGGGAGGGGTTGGACTGCAGGTTGCGGCCATTGGCAATCAGCCGGAAGTCCTGTAGACTGCGCAGAGCCTTAGAAAAAGGCCCACTTTAAATGCAGCAAACTGCGCGTCAAAGGATGTAACAGAAGGGAAAACTCAATCTGAGAAAAGAAACTGTGGGTAATGGAATACAAAAAGCTGTAAAATTAAATACATGAATTTCCCAGAACAGGATTTGGAAGTATGACACATCCGGAACCTTTTTGAGGCAGAAAGATGAAACTTACATATAGTTATTCTACTGATTACCCTATGAGTTTGTAACGTTCTTAAATTTGAAAATATTTTTACTTTAACTTTATCTTCATTTTATGCCCTGCAAGTTTCTGAAATACATTCTGGGTAGTCTAGGTCAGGCCTACTGGACAAGTTGTTTTATTTTGCTTTCCTTTTCTCTTCCAACAGTAGATAACAAAAAGATTTTTGGGGGAAAGGAACCTTTCTACATTGTTGCTGGAAATGTAAACTAGTACTAATACAACGGAAATCAATATGGAGAATCCTCAAAAAACTAACAATAGAAATTCTATTTGACCCAACTATCCCCCTTCTAAGTATCTTCCCCAAAAGAGTTAAAATCATCTTATTAAAGGGATGCACAAATACCCATGTTTATAAAGTTAGATCTTGGAAACATCATATATACATCCATCAATAGATAAAAGGATGTGGAAAATGGTATTTATACACAGTGGAGTGCTACTCTGCCATAAATAAGAAGCTGGAGGCATTTGTAGGAAAATGAATGTAATTTGAGAACATAAGTGAAATAAGAATATTTCATTCTTTTATATGAGAAACTATATATATATATATATATATATACATATATACACACATATGAGAAATTATACACACTCACACATACAAATAAAGAGCAAGATAGAAGATAAGTAAAAAGGAAGTAGGGAGAAGTTTAAATACTTCCCAAACTATATATTTCATTGTTTCAAAAATATCTTCATACATATATTAATTTGTTTCATTTTTTACTACTAATTTATCTTAGTTCACTGTAATATATACATATATACACACATATGAGAAATTATACACACTCACACATACAAATAAAGAGCAAGATAGAAGATAAGTAAAAAGGAAGTAGGGAGAAGTTTAAATACTTCCCAAACTATATATTTCATTGTTTCAAAAATATCTTCATACATATATTAATTTGTTTCATTTTTTACTACTAATTTATCTTAGTTCACTGTAAAGCAAGTTCTGTGTTATTATCTGTTTGTTTCTTTTTTGTAAGAATCCTTTTGGTCTATGTCTTGTACCCTGAGTAACTACTGTGAAGATGATGATGCAGTGTGTTAAATGTTGTTATTCTCTTATTTTGTTTTTATTTTTTCATAAAATAAAAAAAAAGATTTAGTATCTAAAATGCCTATAATAGTATGTTAACTTTCATTTCATTGGCATACTCAATCTAACCTCTATAGAGCAAAAGAATATAAAAATGTATTTAATAATTACTTGTGAAGTTTTCAATAAAGGGACAAATAAATGAAAGTTTGATATCACTGGAGATTATTTAGATGAATAACATTTAAAAGAAGTTATTTTTATGCTTGTAATTTGGAACTGGTAATCTAAGTAAATATGTATGGATGGCTTTTATTAGACTACGTAACTGCCAACTGACAAAATGAGACTTCCTTCCTCTCAAAAAGGGAAAGAAAAAAGAACCTGGTAAGCATATTTTTCTTTAAATAAAAATTGATTTCACATCAACATTATTTTTTTATTAATTTTTAAAGAATACACAAATGAATTGACTGATTTCTTTTAATTTTGAGACAAGCATATAAAATATAGACTTCTTGTGATGTTTTCCTAAATTCTTTCCACTTACTTTGCATGTTCTCCTGTTGTTTTGTTTTGTTTTGTTGAGACAGGGTCTCGCTGTGCATTCCAGGCTGGCCTTGAACTAACTGTGTAGCCCAGGCTGGCCTCCAACTCAGAATGCTCATCGTGCCTCAGTCTCCCATGGGCTGGAATTACCAATGTGCATCAGCATGCATACTTCTGCCAGAATGAGCTGGGAGCATTGCAGATTTTGAGGGTCTGAATAAATGAACTCACAATTGTATCTGAATCATTCCAATGAAATAAAACTAAAAGTAGTGCCACAAGGCAGGTCCTCCCCTATAGACAGAGTTCTTTCCTGGGTCGGGCTCTGTTTGCGTTCTCAACACCTCAGTGAGCTTTGCGCCACCTAGACTCTGAACTCAGCTCTAGAGCCTTCGACCTAAAGCTCACAATGAGTCATGGCTGGAAGAGATCATTTTCTCCCAGCATTCTCCTCTCTCTCCCTCTGGCTGCATTTATGGAGACGTCAGCCTCTTTGCTACCTGGATCACTAAGGCTGCACTACACTGAACGGCTGCCTGGCTACCTCAGCTGTTACTCATGTGTGCGCATTTGATTTCTTGGAATTGGGACGTAATAAAGCCTGGATCCAGAACACCTGCTCCTGTTGGCATCGCTGGGATTGACATCTGTCATCCGAACATGCCATACATGACCGATCCTCCCAACTAGCTGGACCCCATGTGCTTGCTGCTCCTGCCCTTGTGTGACAAAATGAGGAGTTTTCTGCCATGGCAGTAAAATTAAAATTTCAACAGTTACAGTGCTTGGATCATAATAAAACACAGGAGATAGAAATTTTTTTTAACTCACTCTGGTAATTTACCACATGCAGATATAAATTTAGTCTTCTATAAAATGGTAATTAAGTCTGAAAATTCTGTCATTTAATTCATTTTGGCTATTCCATTTGCTGCTTTCCTTTTCTAGACTTCCACTTTTCAGATAGCTTTTCTCAGTAATGCCTCATTTATATATATATATTTTTTTTGAGGCACAGTCTCACTATGTAGTTCAGGCTGGCCTTGAACTCATTACAGGCTGGCTTCAAACTCACCACCATCCTCCTGCCTCAGCCTATTGAGTGCTGGGATTACAGGCTTGCGCCACCACACCAGGCACATCGCATTGTTAATAATAAATATATCTTCCACTTCACAGTTCAACAATTTTGATTACAATTTGAACAGCAAGTGTGTGTGTGTGTGTGTGTGTGTGTGTGTGTGTGTGTGTGGTACTAGGGATTGAGTTGAGGAACCAAGGGCCTTTTCCACTGAACTATACCCCTAGTCTTTTTTTTTAACAAGATCTCATTAAATTGCTCAGGCTGGACCCAAATTTGCAGTTCTCCTGCCTGGGCCTTCCAGAGTCCTAGGATTACAGCAGGCATGCACCATCATGCCCAACTATCAAATACTAACCGACCAACTGGTGATAGTCACATCAGGTAACGTGCAGAAAAGTCTATGCACAAATAGTGTTGCTGCCTTAAGGAGGTTTACACTTACATGACTTTTATTTCACATTCCTAATTTTTACCTAGTTTTCATCTTAACTTTAAAACTGGTAGTATTCCTCTCTTTCTCCATGGTACCACACCCACTCGGAATCATATACCCAAAACATATATATCACCCTAGATTTTCAATTTGCCCTCACTTTCTAGGACAATAGCAGAATCCATTGGTACTACCTAAAAGTATACTGCAATGGTTAATTTTATGAATCAACTTGGCAGGGTGATGTTGACCAGATATTGAGTCAAATACTATTTCAGATGTTGCTTTAGTTTTTGCTCAAGATGAGAAATTCACTTAAATCAGTAGAGTTTGAGGAACCCAGATGACCCTCTAACATGTGGGTGGGCCTTGTCTAATCAGTTAACAATCTTAGGAAACAGAAGAAGAAGAAGGGATCCATCCAAGGGGAGGGACTTCTGTCTCTAAACCGCCTTTGGACTCTCCTATAGTATGGGTTATGAATGTTTCCCAAAGTCCCGTGTGTTACAGCTTTGTCCCCAGGGTTGTGTGTTGGGGAAATAGTAGATTCTGCAGGAAGTGGGGCCTGTAGGAAGTCCTTGAGTCATGGGAGTTGTAGCCTCCATGGGGATTATGGGACTCCAGCCCTTGCCTGTCTCTTTTGCTTCCTGGTCACAAGGTAAACAGTCTTGCTCTACCACACACTTGCACCATGATGTGTTACCTTGCCCAAAGCAACTGCACTAGCCAGTCACAGACTGGACCCTCCAAATCTGTGAGCCAAATAAACCTTTTCTCTTTATAAGTTGATTATCTCAAGTGTTCCCTTATAGTGATGGGAAGCTGACTCATACGGACTTTAACTGTAATAGCAATTTTTTCCTGTTGACTTTGGACTCTTTGCTCTCCCCAATTGTGTGAGCAAATTCCCTAAATAACTCTCTCTCTCTCTCTCTCTCTCTCTCTCTCTCACACACACACACACACACACACACACACACACACTCACATGTTCTATTTCTCTGCAGAACCCTGCCTAATGTATATGTCCTACTCTATTCTCTTCTCTCCAACTTCATGCACCAACCTATGCCAAACCAACCTGGTCTGGCTCAGCTCTTTCTCTCTTCAAAATGCAGTCATCGAGAAAGCTAGCATTTAGCTCCGTTTCCTTCCAGGAGCTGGGGCTGACTTATCACAGACTCCACACTGCAAAACCCACCCCATACAATGGCTATATCCCCTGAACCACAGCACAGTTGGAAGATTTTGTTTCTAACTAAAGTTTATTCCTCAACAATAAAAACCCTTGGAAGTCTTTACCAACACACACTAGAAGGAACCATCCTGTGGCTGTTACCCTCTGGTACCCACCCCTCAGTCCAATGCAGCCCCTTGCAACCAGGCTGCCTTTCTGCTCCTCACACT